GAGCCTAAGGGGTTTTTTAACTTATTTGTTACCAGTGTTCTTTTGTCTGCCAGCAATTGTAAGAGGGAAGATTTCTCAGCGAGAGGATATCCAAAAGCATCAAAATGCGGGGTACTGAATTTCCGAAAGGAGTTGGTAACGTGGCCATTATTTATTTATATATTGTTTTTGCCCTTCGAATTTTATGCGATGGTAAATAATCTGTGTTTAAAATTAAGGAATATCTAACCGAAGCTCTGCCAGTGAATCTGATTGGTATGAATTGTCAACTGATGTGCCAATATATCGAATATGTGGCCGATCATTTGCTTACCGAACTGAAATGCCCGAAGGTATTGATGTTCTTAACTATCCAGTCTATTCAGCAGCACTTCTAGAAATATGAAAAAAACTTGATTCAGAATGTGTCCAGAGTCTTGAGGCCTGAGTGGTAATATCAGGCCAAGAGGAACCATCTGCTAGCCAAGATAACGATCCCTCTTCACCGTATGATCGCTTCGGTTCTTTTTTTTAAAAAAAAAAAAAAAAAAACTTGTTTTATTTGTCAAATTTCTGAATTTTTACAGATATATCATTCGCAGAATCCGTTCGATTTCATGGAGCGTATTTCGATCGAGGCAAAGACGAATTTCTTCGAGAAACGAGTCAGCGAATATCAGAAAGCTGGTGTTTTGAGCAACGAAGAAGGAAACAGCTTCTCGCTGGATTCGGATTTTTAAGATTTTGGCATCAACAGGACCAGCATACCTGTGAAAATTACCGCAAAACATTTTTTTTTGGAAAAATCAAAAAAAGCAAAAAAAAAACATTTTCTGAAGAGCGATAAAAATTGCATTCGTGGCACTTTCTAACTGTTTTTGACATCAAATTTTTCAGAAACCTCAATCCCTTAGCACTCCAGCCTTCTTCAGTAATTCCAACAGATTCCATTCCTCAAACCTCATTGCTGCGCACCTGAGCTTGTAGCATTGGGCGTGCTCATGATAAACGCAGCATTGATCATGATAAACGCAGTTTTTTGTTCACCACAACGACTTGATTTCTCTATTATATGCAACTTTCATATTTCATAGATTATATTTGGATCAG